GAGAGTTTTCTAGAATGTCCTTTTCTATTTCTATATCTGGGCTATATATAGAATCTAAGGAGAGAAACTTCCTTCTTTCCTCTAAATAAATATATCTCCTGCCGGCGCTAAAAGGGAGAGAGTCCTGAGAGTAGTTCCAACGCCTGTGGATCCGGTCCCGGGTTCAACCATACTGCGAATTCTCAAATTCAGGGTAAAGAGGAGTGCCCCACGTCGCTCTCACCATCTTGTTTGTTCTCTTTGCGCGCTTCACTTTATCTAAAAAGGGGTGAGTACGATATCTTTATAACAAAGGGACTCCCGGTTCAATTCAATGATTGTAATGTAACTTAGTAGCTCCCACAGATAGAAGAACCCCATCATTGGGATGCCAAACGATGGGTTAAGCTCCTAAGATCGATGAAAGCTTTTAGGGAGATCCTTCGATAAGGATTTCAATTCCCCAGCTCTATAAGAGGATCCCTTGCGTGCTATGTATACGGGTCTCTCAAATCCAAGAAAATTAGATAAAGCAGGAACCCAGCATGGGAGTCTTATACTTTTCGACTTGGGGGATTGCATAAGGGTGCTTTATGCCCGACCGGAAGAGATGCGAGAAAAGTAAGTCCAGATGAATCTTATTCCCGCTCTGAACCTTGCTTTCTTGCGAGGATCATTGGCATCAGAGAAGTAATTAGGCAACCTTCACTAGTTTCATTAGCATTAGCAAGGCTGAATTCATTTCATGCTTTCAAGGATAGGTCATTTGACTCCCTTTCAATAATTATCATCTTTCCTGCTCTTCCTTTGAGTTCGATCCGTGTAGTTGTAGTCAAGTCTAAGGCAGCTTCATACTCTTCATTAGTCTATTATTATTGAATATAAAAAGGAATTCAAGTAATTAAGTCCAAGTGAATCCATTTCTTTCCCAAATCTAGCTAACCTAACCCCGGATTCGTCTCTAGGAGAACTTCAAGAATCCCAGTCTTGAAAGTCCGGCGAAAATGAGGATAAATAGAATGTCCCCCAGAAATCATTAATTAGGCGTTCCGTAGCAGTAATTCCATTCATTCGAGGTTCTTCATGATTCATTATATTCCCATAATTTGTGCTTGCCCCATCACTCCGAACTCCATCATCCCTATTCTGGCTAGTATACAGGCGGTAAAAAAGCTTTATGAGGTAAGCAACTCCGGTCCGTGTGGTGGGCCCATGATATACTCCTAGTCTCAAAAGGTTTGTTGATTTCATATTAGCGTATATATTATTTACTTCCTCGATCATCTCCCGGGTAAGTCTATTCACCGTTCCGCGGCAGTGAATTTAGGTTCTGCAGCAGCCTTAACCGGATCTGTCTATTCACCGTTCCGCGCCATTGAACTTCCTTTCTGCAGACTTCATTTTCTCCGCTGCAGAAGGAGAAGACAAAACGGGAACGGGAAGATGATTCTCGGTTCTGCTGCAGTAGACAAAACCAGAAGATGATCGATTACTAAAAGCGCGGAACAAAAAGTTGGGGCGAGGTTTTCTGCCCAAAAAAGTGGGATTGTAGGAAAGCTAATATTATAGACGGAAAGGCGAACCCAAAACTCTTAGTCGGCCCTGTACTCTATTCCTTACTTCCTTACTCTGGAATAAAGGGCCTGGGGCTCAGTTCTCTTATGACACTTAGCACTCAATGGATTCATATTTCCCTCTAAGGGGTTCTATGAATGTATAGTGGATTTTCTGTTCTGTAGCAGCCTACATATTATTGATTTATGCCCGTGATCACAGTATCACTCCCCGTTGCCTTACCCATGGGATGTTATCCCCTCTGCAAGAATCCTCTGCGGGAGTCACAACTCTACCGCTAATATTGGAACACAGAGACCGGCTTTTGGGATCTTCTTTCCGGGGGAGTGTCTTTATTCCCTCTAAAGGGTGGCAGATATGTGTGGGGGATTTTTTATATTTGATGAAATCTCAAAGAGTCCAACGATTCTTCGTATTCCTCAGTAAATACATATATATCTTCACTTCATTTCATTTGAATATTCTATCTTCATTCAAATTCAAACAAATATAAAAAGGAATATTCAAAATCCAAATTTAGAAATCCTTTATTCGTGATTCGCGAGGAGCTGGATGAGAAGAAACTCTCACGTCCGGTTCTGTAGTAGAGATGGAATTCAGAAAAAACCATCAACTAGAACCCCAAAAGAACCAGATTCCGTAAACAACATAGAGGAAGAATGAAGGGAATATCTTATCGAGGTAATCATATTTGTTTCGGTAAATATGCTCTTCAAGCACTTGAACCTGCTTGGATCACATCTAGACAAATAGAAGCAGGTCGACGAGCAATGACACGAAATGCACGTCGTGGGGGAAAAATATGGGTACGTATATTTCCAGACAAACCAGTTACTGTACGACCCGCGGAAACACGTATGGGTTCGGGAAAAGGATCCCCTTAATATTGGGTAGCTGTTGTGAAACCCGGTCGAATACTTTATGAAATGGGTGGAGTAACAGAAAATATAGCCAGAAGAGCTATTTCAATAGCAGCATCCAAAATGCCTATACGAACTCAATTCATTATTTCGGATATAGAAGAAAAATGTAGAACCAACCGAAAGGAATCTTAGGAATGAAACAAAAACGCAGGTTTCTTTTTGTGTTTGTGGACAAAAAAGATTTCTTTTTTTCTTCGCCCTTTGCATTGTAAAGAAAAGAGTAAAAAAATGATATGATTCAACCTCAGACCCATTTCAATGTAGCGGATAACAGCGGGGCTCGAGAATTGATGTGTATTCGAATCATAGGAGCTAGCAATCGCCGATATGCTCATATTGGTGACATTATTGTTGCTGTTATCAAAGAAGCAGTACCTAATATGCCCCTAGAAAGATCCGAAGTAGTAATTGTGCGTACCTGTAAAGAACTCAAACGTGACAACGGGATGATAATACGATATGATGAAAATGCCGCAGTTGTTATTGATCAAGAAGGAAATCCAAAAGGAACTAGAATTTTGGGTGCAATCGCCCGGGAGTTGAGACAATGAAATTTGACTAAAATAGTTTCATTAGCTCCCGAGGTATTCTAAAATGAAATCGTGATATGTTTCTAGTGGAGTATTTGAAAGAAATAGATTAAGAATTTAGTATAATGTGTCTCACGCATATACCTTTCTTTAATAATATAATGAATATTCATAGACAAATAAGTAAAAAAAACACGTTGATAGTATAAAATTTTTTTGCCCCAATAATTCTAGTTCATCATGGGTAGGGACACTATTGCTGAGATAAGAACTTCTATACGAAATGCTGATATGGATCGAAAAAGAGTGGTTCGAATAGCATCCACTAATATTACCGAAAATATTGTAAGAATACTTTTACGAGAAGGTTTTATTGAAAACGTGAGAAAACATCGAGAAAACAACAAAAATTTTTTGGTTTGAACCCTGCGACATAGAAGGAATAGGAAAAGACCCTATAGAAATATTTCAAATTGAAAACGGATCAGTCGACCCGGTCTACGAATCTATTCTAACTATCAACGAATCCCTAGAATTTTAGGTGGGATGGGGGTTGTAATTCTTTCTACTTCGCGAGGTATAATGACAGACCGAGAGGCTCGACTAGAAGGAATCGGTGGAGAAATTTGGTGTTATATATGGTAAGATTTTGAATATCCAAATTGGATCCAAAACTTCCTATTTGTGCAAATTTGGGGGTTGTCTAATATCGTTCTACCTCCATTAGTTGATACTTCAAGGTAACTTACTGTACCTGGGATGAAAGAACCAAAATGAATTCATGAGGGTTTCATTAATGAATCGCTTCCGAATAGTATGTTCCGGGTTTATTTAGATAATGAAGATCTGATTCTAAGTTATGTTTCGGGAAAGATCCGACGTAGGTTTATACGGATACCGCCATAAAATACAGTAAAAATTGAAGTAAGTCGTTATGATTCAACCAGAGGGCGTATAATTTATCGACTTCGCAACAAAGATTCGAAGGATTCATTTTGAAACTTTCACATGCCTTTCGCGGGAATACAATTCGAGATGCAAAATATCAAGAAACTTTTTTTCTTCCAAGAAGTAGAAGTCAAGTCTATTTTCAATTAAGGTAAGGAATGGGAAATATGAAAATAAGAGCTTCTGTTCGTCAAATTTGTGAAAAATGTCGACTAATCCGTAGAAGAGGACGAATTATAGTAATTTGTTCCAACCCGAGACATAAACAACGACAAGGATAATCAGACTTGCCAAATGAACCAATGTACAAATAAAGAATCGTGAAATGGATATATCCATATATCGCTGACTCATATTTACGAGATGCTAAAATATGGCAAAAGCTATACCGAGAATTAGTTCGCGTAGGAATGGACGTATTGGTTCACGTAAGAGTGCACGTAGAATACCAAAGGGAGTCATTCATGTTCAAGCTAGTTTCAATAATACCATTGTCACTGTTACAGATGTACGGGGTCGGGTAGTTTCTTGGTCCTCCGCCGTTGCGCTTTTGTTGCAGGAGTTTTCTTGCTCTGATCTGACAAAGAAAAAAGGCTTTAGGGGGTACTTTCACTCTTCAATCGGTACGTCTTTCTCACCTCAAGAAGTATGGATGTATTTAAGGAAGTGGAGTACTGAGCAGCTTGAGACACTTCAGTAGCATAACGAACATCAGCAATTGAACTTGCAGCCCCTTTCGCAACTCGAGGAGATGCCCCGCTTGTTCAAGAGTTTGAGTAGCCCACTTACTTTAGTTTGACTGAAACAACTTCCTTTCCTGAATCTTAGCTCTTCTCTTTCTTATTTATTCTTACTACTAGAACTTTAGAAACCGGTCCGGAAGAAAGAAACCTTAACGTATCCGGGTCGTACGCCTGGAACAGTCGTACAATTTCGGCGATTCTAAAAAGGAGTATATCCCTCTCCCTTAGTGTCTTTCCACTTCCCTCGTTCAGGAACAAACACTTCGCCTAATTCTTTTGAATTTCCCCACTAACTAATTAGCTTACGACCACTGAACAAACTTGGTTGACGAACATAGTTTATGCGCCGCTAATCTAGCGGCTTGTCGAGCATTTGACAAACTCACACCATCCATTTCAAATAGGATTTGTCCCGTGGACACACGAGCAATCCAACCCGTAGGATTTCCTTTTCCTCTTCCCATTCTTACTTCTGTAGGTTTCCCGGTAATAGGGATATCTGCGAAAACTCTTACCCATATCTTACCATTTCTTCGGAATTGTCCGCTCATAGCACGATGGAAGTGTCCGATTATAGCACGACGCGCTGCTTCAATGGCTCGATATGAAAGACGACCAGCTCTACAACTTTTAGTGCCATATCTTCCAAAACCAAGTTGTGTACCGTCCGGTTTGCAACCCCTACTACATCTGCCTTTACGATATTTACTATATTTCGTACGTTTCGGATATAGCACGTCCCCCTTTTTTTTAACTATATGAAATCCACACTTTGACACCTGAGATTCCGTAACGAGTAGATACTTCCGCAGGAGCATAATCTATTTTCTGGTTAAATACATTACGAGATGTTTTTCCATACTTTCCGCATTCAGTTCTAGCTATTTCTGCACCTTTTAATCGACCTGAACAACATATACGGATCCCCTCCACCCCCTTTTTCATTACTAATGGAATACCCTTCACTATTTTACTAAAAATGGAACGAAATGATCTTCTTTTGTTCCTCGGTTGAAAAGGGATGTCTTGAGCAATCGGAGAAGCACTTTGATAAACAGATTTGATCTTGACTGATTCAATTAAGGTATTAGTGTTTGTTCTATTAGACAACAAAGATCTTATTTTTTTAACTTCGTTCAAATAAGAGTTGTAACCGTACGGAATTCTTCTGTTTCTCAGTATGATCTCTATCATCATCTCTATTCCCTTTATCAATTCTCCTATCCTACCTAGGTCTATGAAATTCTCTATCAATTCCATTACCTTATCCTTACTCATGAGACTCATGGGGTTCCAATATTTTCTCCTTAATTGACCTAGGAGTTGTAGTTGTTCCCGGGCATCCTCGGAAAAAAGGTTATTATGCACCCCAACCCCATCCCTTGGAAAAAAAAAGGTAGCACCGAAGAAAGGAAAGAGCGAGATGGTGGTTTTTGTTGTTCCCGCGAAGCGAAGATCATTCGCTTGGCGAATAAAGTGGATCAACCTCTTTTTGGCTTCGGCCAAACACCTTTTCTCGCTGGTCGAGCTTTCTACAAAAAAAGCGATGCGAGAACGTATTCTCTTATCTAAGCTTCTTTCCTGTGTATTAGCTCCCCCCATCGTAGATGGTTCAGCCACGCCCGGTGCCACGAAATGATTGAGAACTACGACGGGGTCGAAATTCATTTTTTTCTTTGTATTCAATAAGTATTGCATGACCGAATAATTCAAGGAAGGGCGCACTGCAGGGAGGGTCCTTTTAAGTAGATGACTCGTCGGGCGGTCGGAGCGGGACTTCTTTGGGAAAAAGAACTTGAATAACTTAGTTTTTCTGACGGAGTCGTCATTTTTTATCAGGAACGCTATGTCATTTACAATCCCGGCGTATTTCGGATGCTTGAAGGCCCCGCTGACCCGAAGTGATTTAGAAAGAGTCTTCTTTATCGATGGTGATTGGTCATGGTATCCATAGCCTTGCTTCTTTTTCGGCCAAATCCTGATTTCGTTTTGCTTCTCCCGATCGTCGAGCCTGATCGACTCGACTCTTTTCCCTGCCCCCCGGCCTCTCACTTCGTTTCGTTCTTCTTCTGTACCGTCGCTTGAATGAAGACACCCGATCGGCCCGACTTTCCCAAATGCCCCCCCAAAAAACCGGCCCTTCTCCTTTCCGGGTCTGGCTTTTTCACGTCGTTTTCGTCGTCGTGGTAGACGGGGAAGAAAGAAATGAATGAAAGTTCTTTTGGGAAAATGTAGAATAATACACCTACCGAGACGAAAGCCAAAGGTTCGTCTCGTAGGTGGACGTATCGAACCGAAATAAGATCTCAGATTGACATCTTGATACACTGATTTACCATAATAATAAATAGAGTCAATGGTGACTCCGCCGTGGGAAGAGCCGCTTCCTTCTTGCTTGATAGGGGAGGCTTCCATTCACCAGCGCAGACTCAAAGTGCTCTCCGAACCGTGCTGGATAGTCACCCATCACACGGCTCTCAAACCCAACCTGTGATGGATCCCGGGAGACAAAGTCAAAGCGCTTGATCCTTTGCCCCATACTTTGAGATGCTCCTCCCCGCCGATCAAGGAGCGACGCTGCTCGTGATAGGCTTAGCTTTAAGCTGCTATCGTTCGGTTCGGATAAGTCAAGTCCCTTCGGTCGCTTCGCTCAGGCGGTCTTCCCTTATCTTCCCTAACGTTCAAAGTCGTTCTGGTTTGAGATGAGAAAGGAGCGGAAGCCACTCGACTGAGTTGGAGAGGAGCGAAGGCCGAGCGCAATGAATGAATAAGAAATTGACAGCAGAGGAAATCAATGATTCTTATTCGACCGAGTTCTAGCTAGAAACATGTCGATTACACACCGGAGGTTGGTAAGAACTGAGGGGCAATGCCCCCTAACCTAAGTGGGCCTACCTGCGAAGCAACTGGTACTTGATCGGGCGGGGGGCGGTTTGGTTTCGTGCAACGCCCTCGCAGCAGGAATAAGTAGTTGTCATTTGAAAGTAAAGGCTCTGTTCCGCTTATCAATTACGAATCCTACAACTCTCTTTACTGAGCGAGACTCCATCCATATCCCTACTAGTGGTTTTTCTTTCATTCAATCATCACTTGTTTGACAGCTTAAACTAGGCTCCACTTTAGAGATAGGTTTGTTTTTGGTCAACATCAAAATAGGTCAAGGGCGCGTCGGAACGATCGGTAGCTGCTTAGTCTCATCCGAGAGTACAATCTCCTTACTGCTTTTGAAAAAAAAAGAGGAGGGGTCGATTTAGGCTCCTTCCCTTCCACTGCGTAGCCGCGCTAGCAGGTACTACGAGCCCTCTGTCCCACGCATCTAACCAGCTCGCGTGGTTCACCGGTTCCACCGAAAACTCTCATTTGTTGAAGCGGAGCATAGTGCGCTTTAGGCGCCGAGCGAGAAACGTCTCTTCTTTCGTTTCGGTTTATTCACTGATCTGAAACTTAGCACTTGTTTTCTTATTGATTCCAGGGGCGGTGGCATTCTTTAATGAAGTATATCCGAACCGAATTAGCACTTCTCAGATCAGGCTAGGCCTCTCCAGCTGAGCTGGGCGCCGGGGCCCTGGATGCGCTAGCGATTGGCACATAGGGGAGTGGTTGCCCGGGTTTATCGGCCTGGTATCCTGCACCTCGCGTTCATGATATTGACATTCAACTGTGCCCCGGAGACACGGTCGAAGCACGCCCGCCCAGTGTGCTTCTTTCACGACATGCTATAGTCCTGGGTGTCTTCCAGTGGTCTTCTAGCCTTAGAAGAAGTCGTGTCCGCCCCGGGCATCTGCAACGTCCTCCTTTGATATTCTAATCTGGGACAACTAAAAGACTGAGCCATTCGGTTACTTTCGCGGTCGCCCTCACTAAACCAACTTGAATCTGAACTACGATTCAGATCACGTCTTGCCGAAATCGGATTTCCTTTGCGTGCCATATGCGCTTAGACTTCACTTTTTCCCCCTTTTTCTTCCCCGTCCAATATTTGTTCTCGAAGGTCTTCGTTTTCGTGTAAAAGCAAACTCTCCAAATTTATGACCAACCTTTCCTTCAGTAATCTTACAACGAACAGGAGTTTTTCCATTGTAAATTCGTACGGAGCAATCAACGAATTCCGGCGAAATAGAAGATCTACGTGACCAAATTTTCCTGTTCAAAAGAAGATCTCTCTTCTTTTTCATTCTCAAGAGGAATGCATCAACAAAACTTCCCTTCCATATAGATCGTCGTGGCATGAACTAATTTTTTCGCTTCGATTCTGTCTGTCTTCGCTCCTCTCCTGTCGAGTGGCTTACGCTCCTACTCCTCCTCCTTCTGCTCATGAATCCTCCTTGGTCCTTCGTTCACTTTTTCTCACATTGGCTTCTTCTGTGTTAAGCATGACATGTAATGTCATGTTTGAAGTCGAAGCAATCTTCTTTTTTTCGAAAAATCTATTCTTTTTTTCATGATAATAGTTTTTGACTCTTTATTTTGAAGCAAGGTGGATCTATACGGGAACCTAGTTATAATCGTCTTCTTCTTTCTTTCTTAATAAGAAGTTCTTTTTTTTCTATTTTCTTTGAAATGCATGCTTTCCTATGGATGAGACTTTCTATGGAAAGAGGATATGAAGAAGCGAGACCATCAAAGAGAGTACTCTGCTGCGCCTTTATTAGTCTGATGATGTTCTTCTGTTTATGTTCTTCTTTCTTCTTGATTGTTTGCACGTTTGTATGAGAATCAAGCTCATCTCCTTCGGTAAGCACATATAGGGTATCGAGCCCTCGGCGCTTGAGAGGACCCCGGGGAGCTCTTCTGTGATAGGCTCCGAGTTCCTGACTCTACTAGGCAACTAAGACATTAGATGAGGGAGTGCTTGTCTGTTTAGCGCTCTGTGGTTCATAGATTGGATATTGAATTATCCGAAGATGAGTATCCCTCGAGCCTGACTTCCAAGCACTGCTTCTGTAGTCAACAAAGAAGTAGGGTTTCAGACTTCGTCATGAGTTTGACCTTCTGTTCTAAGAAAGAATGCCTGAGCTTCTGTAGCGCGAAGACAAGAACTAGTCAATTTCTCTAAAATCTGGAATACCCTTCTTCCTCCATCCATACACTGACATCAGTTACTGAAAACCGAGATATGGGCATAAAGAAAATCAAACTCTTTGCTCGTGAATATGCGATGTTAAGGATGCCAGAACTATAGTTGAATCGACCGTTCACTCATAGGTAGCTGCGAACAAGGAAGAAAAAGAAGGACATGGAAGCCAAGCCAATGCGGTCTTAGCTCTTGTTGCTGCCAACGACTCCGATGCCGTTGAATCCG